CTCACACGTCAGCCTTAAGCTTTCATCATTGCCGGGAATTGCAGACATAAAGTCAGACCTGAGCCTAAACGTGTGAAGGTTTTGTAGCCGTTAGTCTCTGTTGGTGGGACCTGGGCTATTTGTCTGTTGTTCTGTGTATTTACTACATAGTGCTCTTTATTTACTGCAGAGTTAAACATAGTTGTTCTGTTTATTTACTACATGTTTACTGTATAGCTAGGGTCCCATTAGGCTGTCCTTCATATGTCTGTAATGAGAAAAGCATACAGAGCCCAGCCTCTTCCTATGACTTTTCCTGTCAAAAGAATAAAGGCCAAGCAAAGCACATTTTGCACACTTCCCCCTGAGCCTGTGTTTCAGTCTTACTTTCCCTTTCCCTATTCAAAATCAGTATACAAAAATCCTGAGCCAGTGGTTCTTTAAGGGTCGCTGGGTAGGATTCAGAGGATCTATAAACTTTGATGAAAAAACAAATTTAAGTTACACCTTTATTTCACTTAACTGTGGCTGAAATTCATCATTTCCTCCAGTTATTAATGGAGACGGCAAACCACAGTGGTATTCACAGGAGCCATGACTGTTTGCAATAGCAATTACAGGTATTAACATAGCACATTAGAGTGCTGGCAGATATCTCAAAATTCTGGTTATATTTATTACTAGTTGGATGTTAAAATGTTATTAAACTTGTGCTAGATCCTGTTATTTAACGTGCTATTAAAGAAGCACATGTATTGCAGTAAAATTTTAAAATATTTTGGTCACTGTATTTCAGTATTATTGGTTTCCTTTGTAATCGTATGCATTCAGATTATATATTTTAAAATATTATTCTGAGAAGGAGGTCCCTTAGCTTCATCAGACTGACAAAGAGGGTCATGACCCAAAAAGGTTGAAAATCCCTGTTTAAACAGGTTATTTCCCTAAGGAAGTCAGTTTCTTAGGGGAATGGTCTATAAACTATATAAGGATTGCATTTTCTTGTGAAAGGTTTAGCATGTAGTAAAAACATAGAGAACATAGTAAAAATCTTTTTTAAAATAGTGGCTAGGAAACTTTTTTAACCAAATAGAAATATGTGTTATACATTTTATATGATTTTTAAATAAATTTCCCACAAGGGTGGTCTCTTCCAAGCCGCGAGAACCAGTGCTGATTAGAGGCTGACCTCAGAAATCCCGCTGGCTTATGCCCACCTGGTGCATTCACCTGCCTGACTGGCTGTCTTGTCTGTGAAATGCTGCTGTTGGAAATCAGTCTCACCACGACTTGCATTTTATAACAGAGATTTGCTTTGGCATTGATCTCTGTTTTGATAAGTGTTAGCTTTAAATTACACTTATGTTATCCTTTTATGCTTTGATGTCATCTTTAAAAAAGTAAATTTGATTGAAGAATCACACACATTCAGGAAAGTGCACGCAGCATAAGCACACAGCTCAAAGAGTTTCCACAACTGAACATATGTGTGTAACCAGCACCCAGATCAAGAATGTGGGGTGTTTATATTTTTCTGTTTAAAATTCTATATATATAGCATTTGATGTGTGTCTTTGATGGAGCAGAGGTTGCACCTGCAGAACCACACAGCACCTTGCACCTTGCTGAGCACTGATGGACTCCATCTAAGGAGACCATGGACTAGTGGGAGGGACACAAGCTTTGGCTCAGCTTGAATTGAGTTACGACCTCTTGTGGACTGTGCAACTTCTGATAAATTGCTTAATCTCTTTGAACATCAATGTTCTCATTGGTAAAATGAGGCTATGAGGATGCTAATGCTTATTTTTCATGATTGCCAAGAAAATAAAATTAGAATGTCTAGTATATACAAGTGGTAAATGAATGATAGATGCTATTATCAATGACTGTGAATACATTACAAAAACAGTCATTTGTAGCCTAGAAGTTTATTTTAGCATAATAGAGAGGGTTGCAGGAAACAGCACATTAACTAATACATTCAAATATGCCTGGATAATTTTTATAGTACAGTTAATTCACATGATGTTTAATGCACTACAGGGTGGATGTAGGTGTAAAGAAAGAAGTTAAAATTTGGTTATTATTTTCCTGAATTTCTGAGAAAATGAAATTCCTCGTTTGCTAAATGAATTTTCTTTTTCTTTGGAGGTGTTGGAGAAAATTTGACAGACCCATCTGTTATAAAACCTGAAGACAAACAGTAAGTTAATTTATGATGTTATCATTTAGAAAATTGCATTTAACACATTGTACATGATTTCTTTTTTTTTAATAAAAATATTTTTATTTTTTTTTTAATATTTTTTATTGATTTATAATCATTTTACAATGTTGTGTCAAATTCCAGTGTTCAGCACAATTTTTCAGTCATTCATGGACATATACACACTCATTGTCACA